CCACTCTAGGGGTAGGACAGACTCGTACCAGGTGGAGTCGGGGTCAATCAATTCGGTTCTTTGACATAAGATGAACCTAACCTAATTTATATGTTGTCTGCCCTAATAGGTATTGTTAAATAAAACAAATTTCAATAAGAGATCATTTATCATGGTATCTTTCTTGTTTTTCATAAAATGGGTTTATATTTACATTATAAATAGAAACATTAAAAAAATATAGATATTTTAGAAATCGATTTTTTGTGAACCGATACATCAGCTTACGATTTAATCGATTTAAAAATCGACTTTTTTCGGAAAGGATCGACATCCCTATTGAAGTCGACAATGACATTACAAAATGGCGCCAGTTTATTAGCAGATTAGACATAAACATTGCAAGAATAATTGATTTTCAATTATTCTTTTCTCAAAAATTACGCGTTTCCGTATATTGACACATTGTGTGTGTGCTTATAATAGTGTACTCTTTCTGTAATAATACGTATCAACACCAAACTCCACTGACGTCAATGGAAAGCTAAGCCGAATATCTACCCACTATCGTCTACCGACTACCCCTATCGTCTCGTAGTAATCGCTACCATCTCTACCACCGATCATTAAATTAAGGTGTTCGATGATAACGTGGCTTTATTTAGGTCTTAACACAACACAATAAAGCCTTATTACTGGCTACTAGTATTCTTTTATTCTGAGGGTATTCGGTTTGGATGTCTGTATTTGCTAATATTTGGGTACATAAGTTATATTTTTTCCGGTTTGGTTAAATTCTTGTGATTGCCGCAGCTGCACAATGCGTGATGACATCAGAAGAGAATTTCATCGATTTATCGTTACATCGGATAATATGAGGAGGCGTGATTGAGCTCGATGAAGTCCGCCTTGTACACCGAGCCGGCAGGCAGACCTCGCTCGTATGATGACTTGTTGATTATCATCGCGTCTTCCATGTCGTAACCCTAGGAGAGAAACCGCGACAGTATAACAACGGCGTCGTGTGGCAAGTCGTTCATTCATCCATTCCATTACAGTCTATAAAAGTCCGCAGCTGAACATAGGCCTCCCTGATAGATTGCCTCATTGAGGAGTTTTGCCATAGTTGCCACGCTTGGCAAGCGGGCTGGCAGCCGCAGCTTTCTATTATTTTGAGTTGTTATCAGATAGATGCTGTCGCCCATCTCCTGTTTCATTTTCCCTCTGTCGCGACTTAAGGCGCAGGTTGAGCAAAATGTCGCGCTAGTCGTTATTTGGGCGGTTTTTAGGAGCTATCTACTTTTTATTTAAAAGATATATCAACAAATAAAAAACACATTATATTTCTACATAATCTTGATTCCATAAAAGCTATATCCAATTTTTTTTTAAAGGAATACATATTAATATAATCTCCTTACAACGAAACCACATAAATGTGAAATTATTATTGGTAACATGCATCTCCTCGTAAAGTAAGTATTATTTTGTTTTGCGATTTACACCAATGGATAGGCAATTTATTAATGAACATTTCTATAGTAAAATTTTTTTCAAAAGACCAAAATTTGATTTTATTAAGAAATTATTTTAAAATCTGGGCGTATATACTGCTCACGGGCTTGATGAAGTCAGTGAGCGCTGAGCTCTTCGACGGGAAGCCCGTGTCGTTAGAGCGTCGACCGACGCATACGCCACGTCATATGAGTCGATAATATTATTATTTATTAGGTTATTTATAGGTAGTATTATTTGTTTGTTTTGGGTATAATTTTTCGTATTAGTTATACATATATTTGTTGTGTTTTTTACTGCGCGATGAAGATTTTTGCGTGTATTTTCTTTGAAGTAAATGCAAATAAAAAAATGAAGCACCATTAGCATGTAAGGTTCGAATCCATAATTAAAATTTCGACAAATATTATAATTTACACTATAAAAGGCTAATTCAATATTATCACCCAACCACAATATCTTATCAGGTATACTACTGCCTCGTTGGTCTAGTGGTTGTAGTAGTGCGACTGCTGATCATGGGGTCTCGGGTTCGAATCCTGGGTTGGGCCAAAAAGTCAGTTATGAGTTTTTCATTTATGTTCTAAGTTATAATTAGTATTACTAAGTTATAGTTTTTTGCTAAAATATAGTATATTATTTATTGCTTGTTTTTTCTTCTTTTTCAAAAAATAATTGAGTACATAAGGTGTTCTATACTTATATCTCGGTAAAAAGTACTAATATACCTACTTTTTACTATAAACTAAAAAATTTTAAAACTAAATTTAACTAAAAAGACTAAGCTGACCATTTATTTTTTAACTCATAACAGGACATGGGTTTATTTATACTCTAAAAACTATAACTTTATACAATTAGTGTTCACTATAAAATTATATTCGGTATAGACGGTAATTATTAAATGCAACATATTTTTTTTAATTATTAATTACATTTGTCAGTGGATTAAATTTGCTTTAATAAAGTTGGTGATGATTTTAAATAAGAATAAAATTCTGCTCAAGTTTTTTATTGTTATCTTTGCAACATCGCCTTTAGAACTCTGGAACCGTAAGTGTTTCTTTCAGACGTCCACAATTTATGCAAAATAAAAAAATACTCTTTCTACCGGAGCATTCGTACCAGGTAGACATAAAATATATTCGATTAAAAAAAATTATGTTGAAGATTGTTGACTTTGAATACTTCCATCCAACGAGTTACGGGACAATTTTGTGTCCCGGTGCTTTGTTTGGGGACAATGGGACAGGAGACCGAGAAAAGGGACAGTCCCGGTCAAAACGGGACGTATGGTCACTTTAGCTATAACCCGGCGACCATGAAGCAAATACAAAGTTAGTCTTTGTATTAGCTTCATGGTGGCGCAGTGGCTTAGCAATCAGTTGTTGCGCTGGGGGCCGCGGGTTCGAATCCCGCATGGAACAAGATTTGTATGGCCTACAAATAATTGTTCCGGGTCTGGATGTTTGTCTTTGTGCAATTTATGTTTGTAAACTGCCTCCACGACACAGGAGAAAATCCTAGTGTGGGTGTAATGTTTTTTTACAACTGAAATTGAAAGATTGAACCCTTATACTTCTTGTTGATTTTTGTATTTATATATTTTTTATTGCACCAAATATTTGTACAAAAGCCGAGTTATCTATTTATTTACCTATAGTGAATAGGTATCTTTTAAACTCACAATTTTCAATGCTTCCGTTTATATAATTAATTATAAAATTTCATAATTAGATAATATATGAAAATACATAATTCTAATATAATGCAATTAATATATACAGAATAAAAAAATTAAAATACATTTATCTTTGTACGCTATGTGTATTTCCATAAAATAGTTTATTGATGTTGAAAAAATAATACTACTTTCGTACAATAGGTGGCGTCTTACATATTTCTTCCGGCGAGCCGCTCGCTACAATATACTCGTATTAATATTGTAGCGAACGGCGCGCCGGTCAAATGCTCAAGGTCGTTCGCATGGAGTAGCCCCTTAAGACACAGGACGATATGGGCTAGTGAACATTCTTACACCACCATTACACGGTTGCCATTTAGGTTATAAAGAAATTTAATTTCTCAAAACAACATTGTTCACTTAATGGGAAGTACATCTATACAAATAAATAAAATTGAAGTGTCTGTTTGTAATGTCAAAATACCAGCTTTTTACTAAATGCATATGAAAGTATATACTTTTAAAGTATTACTTTTACGTGGTAGAGCCACGCTGCTACAGCGTGGCTCTACCACGTAAAAGCTCTATTTCAAAGTCCAAGCTCTCATAGAACACCAGCACGAAATATCAGTATAATTCTGCAGTAAGTTCGTATGGTGAGTGTAGAGAACCCTTTTTACTTGTAATGATACATTCCATTTTAGTCCTTAGGAGTGAGGTCGCATTTACATTATAATTCTAACTGATGGGAGATGTAGGTGTCTCTGGGCTACTGCATCTATTTACTATAAATTGGACTATGTGCTTGTTTGTCACCATCACTTCTATAAAAAAAACTCATCTCATAACTTCCATAAAAATTCGAAAGATAACTAGTAATACCCGGCCACGCGTAGCTGTTGCTCAAACTGGTTAAATGGTAAAGAAAGGAAAGGAAATATAATATTATGTTGTTTTTACGCCCGCTGTTTTTCTAAAAATGGGTAGTTAAATAAAAACGCGCTTATTCGAATCAGGGGCGTAGCTACCGCCGTATCAGCCGTATCAATGATACGGGGCCTCCGGGCTTCAGGGGCCCCGAACGTGTGTAACCAAAAATTCCAAGGACTTCTACGGGACAGGAAAGGCTATCACTATTATCTATAGAAGCAACGAATTAAAAAAAAAACTGAAATGTCTTCAGCTATGAATGCCGCCGAATTGTCTTCAGCTATGTTAGTATTGTTTGGCTAGGTTAGTTCCTAGAAGTATTAATTGTAAGTAATAACTTATAATAAATATATAATAATTTTAATTCAATTCAAGTGTTTTTGTTCCTTTTATGAAATCTTTACTCTTCATTTATTTATTTATCCGTATAGCATTCTTACAATCGTTCACAATAAATTAAAATTAAAATCAAAATTATAAAGTTATTATATCTTTTAATTGCTGAATCCATGGGATAGCCTCGTTTTCGAGAGAGAACAGGTCTGTTGGGCAGCCGTGTTACCTTGTGAGTGGGCAGTCTCTAGCTATATGCTCAACATCCTGGACAGCAGCTCCACACTCACACCCCGGTGATTCCCTCCACCCGCAGATGGACATGAAGGCATTGCTTCGCCCTCATCCGGTTCATACTCTGTTCATTTGGCACCATTCCCTTCTTGGAAGCGCAAAACCAGCAGGTTTAAGTATAGGGTTAATGGTAAATCCCATGCTATCAGGGGGTTTTGCGTTTCATTCCTGCAACCACTCAGCAGACGTGTTAAATCCGCCGGACACGAGTTCACATGCGTTCTAGTATGGTGGGTGACGTGACTTCAAACGGTGGGCTGGCGGATCAGTAAACTCCGCGTGAGTTGGCAGGTTGGGATTTCCGTAGATCTTCTGCGACTCTCGTAGTAGTATTTGTCGTCTTCTCAAATGGGGTGGGCTTATATGGCTTAGCACGGGGATCCACTGGAGGGGGGTACATTTTAAGGTTCCAAATATGCATCTCATGGTCTGGTTCAGCTGGGTCCACATGCAGCACATGTGCACTATTTGACCATACTGGTGCACAGTACTCTGCTGTTGGGTACATCAAACTGAGACCGGTTGTACGCAGCACATCGGCGCTGGCCCCCCAAGTGGTGCTCGCTAGCCTGTGCAAGATGTTGTTTCTGGTCTGGAACTTTTTGGATAATTTGTCCATGTGCGGAGCGTACGTGAGACTCCGATCGAGAGTCACGACCAGGTATCTCGGAGTGGGGTTGTAGTGCAACATGGCTCCAACAAACTCAACAGTGGGCTCGTATTTTGCTATTTGGTTAGCCAAGTGAAACGCAGTTACTTCGGTTTTGGCAGTGTTTGGTACTAGTCTCCATTTCCTAAAGTATTTGTCTAGTATACTTAAGTCCTCGTTAAGGATACCTTCGGATGGTTTGAAGGTTTCGTGTTGGGAAGCTAGTGCTATGTCATCAGCATACATAAATTTACGACTCTGCGTTTCAGGTATATCATGTAAGTAAAGATTGAAGAGCAGCGGAGCCAAAACTGAACCCTGTGGTAATCCATTATTCAGCTTTTTGGTACCGTCAAACTCCCTAACTTTGCCAAGGGTCCAATGTTTGCCCATAATGAAAAAGAAGTAATATCTCTTCTATTTTATAAGCCTGACAACGGAAACTTTGATATATTTTTAGAATTATTATCTGGCAACACAAAATTAGTGGCATCACGTTGGTAAAATGCAAAGATTTTTGACAATCGGGTGCTGAATCAAAGTGTAGAACGGCGGTTACGAGAGTTGTGAGAAAACTTTTCAAGTAAGTCATTGAAATATGTTTAATTGTAACTTGTTTTATAGTCATTCCGTAAAACTATGATAATTTGATAAATTGTCATTTTTAACGATAGAAATACACTAATAATTATTGAGAAATACTGGTGTAGGCAAAGTTTGGCATTTTTTATGAACAAGTGTACCGAACATTGCCGAGCCTAGGGTTGACACTTGTTATTAATTTTAATGAGGCGGACGCGTGACCTATATATATATATATATATATATATATATATATATATATTATGTTTACCTACTTTAGATAATTTGTTGCTTTGATTTTGTAATGTCAATGGAGTCTGAAATGGAACAAAAAGTTAGTTAATAGTAAAAAATAACTATATATATATATATAGTTATTTTTTATATATAGTTATTATTGTGTATATATTTGTGTATACTTACTCAGTTTTCTGTTTATTTGAAGGACAATCAAAATGAACAAGCCGCGAAGAAAATATAAAGATTACGATGAGAGCTTACTAAACATTGCTGTAGGTCTCGTTGAAAATAAAAATATTACTTCATACGACGCTGAGAAACAATTTGGTATCCCTCGCCGCACGATTTTAAATAAAGTAAAACAAAAACACACGAAAAAAGTCGGATGTCCCACCAAACTGCCACCAGCTGATGAACAGAAAATAGTCAGTTGTTTAGTTCTTTGTGGAGAATATGGGTATCCTGTTACTAGCTTTGAATTAAGGTCAATCGTACTCGTACATGATTACTTAATCAAAAATGGACTCAGTAATATTTTTAACAACAAAATGCCGGGTCAGAAGTGGGTAAGAAACTTCTTGAAACGCCACAAAAATGTCCTGACGGTGCGTTCTACAAATAATATTAAAGAATCCCGAGCTAGTAAGAGTGTAAAGGACTACAATACATATTTTGAAAATTTGAAGATTTCATTGCATAATGTCAAACCAGATCATATAGTGAACTATGATGAGATCAACTTTTCCGATAACCCAGGATCTCAAAAATGCATATTTAAAGCAGGTACTAAATACCCAAACAAAACACTAAACAATACCAAGACGGCGATATCTGTTATGTTCTCAGCTACGGCAGGTGGAGAAATTTTCCCACCATATGTCGTATACAAAGCAGACAATTTGTGGACAAATTGGTGTGCAAACGGGCCTGAAGGAACCAGATACAACAAAACCAAATCTGGTTGGTTCGATTCGTATAATTTTGAAGATTGGTTTAATACCATAATCATCCCATGGGCAGTGAAAACCACTGATCCTAAAGTTTTAATTGGAGACAATTTATCGTCACATATGAATATAAATATAATAACTAAGTGTGAAGAACATAATATCAGATTTATCTTTTTGTCACCTAACTCCACTCACCACACTCAACCTCTTGATGTGGCCTTTTTCGGCCCATTGAAGAGAGAATGGAGGAGAATTTTAACGGACTACAAAGTTCGACACCCAAGTTCTAACACATTAAACAAACAAATATTCCCCGAATTATTGAAAATGTTACTAGATGCAACAAAAATTACACAGAGTAAAAACATAATTAGCGGATTTCGTGCTGCTGGGATACACCCCATTAATCCAGAAGCTATATTAAAGAAATTGCCAGATTACCGTAGGCCACAAGCAAACATTACTTACGATGAGACTTTTGTCAATTATTTGAAAGGTTTAAGAAACCCGGCGTACCGGCAAATAAGAAATACAAATAAAAAAATATTTATAGAGCCTGGAAAATCAATAACTGTTACCGATCTCGTAAATGAAAAAACTAAAAAACGAAAAGCACCAGATACAACTCTTAGTAACGCAAAAAGACTCAATCGTAAGAAAAATATCATCCCCACAGAAATCCAATTACAGGACGACGTGAAAGAAACGCATTCAACTATTGCAGATTCTTTGATTATGTATAATCAAAGTGTGGATTATACTTTTGACAATGTCTCATTAAACGTTAGGCGAGATTCGTCATCCGATGCTGACAATGACCAACTTATGACTAATTTGATAGTAAATGCTGAAATACATCAAAAACATGGAGATATGGAATTATCGGACCAGAAAAATCCTAAAAGTATTTACAACATTCAACCAGGCGTTATTGTGAATGTTGATAAAAATTTATGTTTATCAAATGACCGGACTTTATTCAAAAATATTTCTAACTGTGATGCAACTACATCAAATGAAACTATGACGAAAAGCCGAATTCTCTCCAATGTAATTATAAAATCCCCAGATAGAATCTCATTTGATGATAGTTTTTCAGATGACTATACTAAGCATGAAAAGGTGTTTCCAAAAAGTAGGAGCAATCAAGGGTCGAGTTCAGAAAGCTCAGGAATGTATACTGTGCACGATTCGTCTTGTGATGAACATTTTCTTCCATCTCTAAGTGACACGGAAACATACATAGATGAAATGTATGAAGAATTGGAACAAAATATTGATAAAGAAAATGATATTTATGAAATAGGTGTTGATAAATATGTTCTTGTTAAATTTTCAACATCAAAGTTGGCTAAATATTATATTGGTCTAGTAATCAAGTACAACGATTTGGAGCGCGTATATACTATAAAATACTTACGAAAAAATTCAAAAGGTACATTTTACTGGCCACTAGTAGATGATGTCTCAGAAATAACTTTACTTGATGTAGAAAAAACGTTGCCAAATCCACAAGTCGGACGTAGAGGGACATTAAAGTTTGATTTAGATAATTTAGGTGTTCTTTTGTCAAACATTTATTGAAATTTGTTACCTGATAATTAGTTTTTGACTTCATTGTGATATTGTTGTATTTTTTTAGGATAGATAAAGTAAAACTTTACTATGTCGTATTGTGCGTTTATAGATTATGTTTATTAAGAAAAAGGGTTAATTTCGAAAGACTGATTGTAATTTTAATAAAAACTGCTTGCAATGAGAATGACTGATTAAGTGTTATAACATGTATTTTAAATATAATTTTAATATTTTGTTACCTACTTATTTTTCTTATGAGACAACCCTACACTTTCTTTGTCAATGTATGGATGTTGGAAGAAATTGTGTCCTAACATTGCCTTATAAAATTTTACCTACTAAAATACGCCAAAAGGTGTTATTCGAAATTGATTTGTATTGTTGAATTATTAAGCTACATTTAAGATTGTCCCAGGATTAAATGCATATATTTATTTTGGAGTAAACGCCTCTGGCAATGTTAGGAATATTAGACATAACTTTGCCTATTTCTTAAAATACCTCCAAAAAGTTATTAATATTAAGCATAATGTCTAAAATAAATGTTATATATTATACCTAAGTCTTGCTTTTACTCTTGTTTTAATTTCTATCTGCTAAAAAGTACAAATTCAGGATTTATTTCACAACAAAACTAAATAATATCAATATTCGTGAAAAGTTAGGGCATTTGACGGTACGACTTTCACTGTCGCCAAGGAAAACCATGAACTCACGGTTGCTAAGCATTCTATTTAACAGCCCCACCATTTTTTTGCATGGTAGGTACCGCTTTCATGAGCTTATAGACCAATCCTTGCCGCCAAACTGTGTCGTATGCCGCTGACAGGTCTATTAAAATAGCAACCGTCTTTAGTTTCTTTTGAAACCCTGCTTCAATGTGGGTTGTGAGGGACAACACCTGGTCGGTACAGTTGCGGCCACAACGGAAGCTAGCTTATTCCATTGGAACCACCTTATCAATAAAAGGCATAATGCAGTTGTAGATTAGTCATGCAGGGGACACGTGTAGGGTGCGGGCGGCAATTCCTGCGGACGTGAACAACTTCATCCCCCTACTCTTCATTCGGGCCCCCCAACAAATTTTGATACAGGGCCCATCTAAGGCACGCTACGCCACTGATTCGAATGCAACAATGTGTTAAAAAGATATCAAAGCTGATGGTTGGTTTGCTTGGCAACGAACACAGAAGAAGATTACTGAATTTTAAACAAACGAACATTACCATTATTAATAAAATAAAACAAAAACTTTACTACCGCCACACTAGGATTTTCTACCGTAGCGAGGAGGCAGTTTATATGCATAAATTGCACAAGGACAAACATCCAGGCGTAGTACAATTTTTTGTAGGCCGATACAAACAAAAGCACCGTGTGATCGAACCCGTGGCCATTAGCGGCGCAACTCAATGCTTCTTAGCCACGAAGCCGACAATATTTACATTTTTATCTAAATAAATGATAAAATATGCAATAGAATAGAATAATTTTTTATTCAATATTGATTATTACATAATACTTATTGAAAATCATTTTTTATTTACCACTGGTTCGGAAAATACCTCAGTCCTGGGAAGAACCAGCAAGAAACCCAGCGGGACTTTTTTTTCAAACATATTTCACTTAACAATAACTTCGTTTATACAATTTTTAAATGATTTTTCATAGAACCAGCATGGTGGCGATCACCTTATTCCCAGGAGTTATTTTCATTCATGTATTCCTTGATATTATAATAACCCTTTTTGTACACCTTTTCTTTAATAAAACTTTTAAACTTGTTTATTGACAAACTTTGAATATGTTCTGGGATTTTTTTGTAAAAGCGTATACATTGCCCCATAAATGAATTACTGATTCTGTGGAGTCTAGTAACTGGCATTACAAGCTTATGTTTGTTCCTAGTGTTTAAAGTATGCACATCTTTATTCTTATTAAAGTTATATATGTTTTATGCACAAACATTACATTCTCCTAAATATATTGCGATGCCAAAGTTAATATGTTTATTTCTTTAAATTTTTCTCTGAGGGACTCTTT